CCCTAAAATATTGACAAAAACACATAATACCTGTGACATTACATGCATGTAAATTATGGGCAAATTTCATCAATTGTTAATCTTTATATCATTAATATTTATTATAAATTCAAAGTTTGAAAAAGTATTAAAAATGTATTGTTATTATTATCATATAAAGACTTTATAACTTAAATGATAGAAAAAATAAAAATAATATAAAATACTATTTAACATAAATTAGTATAAATGTTTAATATTTCATAGTTTTTATTTTATTATTTTAAAATTTAAAAAAGTAAAACTATTTTGTATATACGTATGGTATAACATTTTTATAAACTCTGTGCTTCTATTAGAATACTGTAGAATAAAATCATTCTGTTTAGAAGATATGCTTATCTTGATTGCCTGTTCTTTTATCCATATAATAATTATGTAATCCATACTAGAAACACTTTAAATAAAATTTTGTGACAAATAGTTCTATAGCTTATATTTTATATCTTTTTACATTCTCTTTTAAAAGCGACCGAAATGAGAATGTGAATCGAATGCAAATTTATGGACAAACAGCAAAATGTTTAAATTGTAGAAATTCATTGTTTTAACATCTTCATTTTAATAAGACGAAACATCAACAGTTATATTTAAGATGTACAGATTTACGAATATTTCACATTTAGGACTTTAAAAATTTTTACAATTTAATAATAGACTTACTCTTGATTATTGTTTAAGAAAATTCGTACATATAAATATCACTTTTAAATCAAACTATTTATTGTTTTCTTTTAACTTCCACATTTTACTTTTTACTTGCATGCTAATATATGAAAGTAATTTATTTTTGTTTAAATATTAACGAAAGGTTTAGTACTGAATAAAAGATATAGTGCCTGCATAGAAATAAAAAATTTGTCCAAAAAAATATATAAGTCTAAATTAGTTTAGTTTAAATAAATTTTAATAAGTTCAATAAATAAATTTGAGTTAATAAAAAGTATCTTTTCATTGTGCAACTCTAAAATATTTATCTTAAAATATAATATGAAAATTCATGTTATCTTGTCATAATGTTATAATGCTAATATAAATCGAGTTTATATTAGAAATTCTAGAAATCAACAAATCTACTTATTTAAGTACTTTGGCATTGTTATAATAAAAAATTTAAAATAAACAAAAATAAAATATATTTTGATAACAAAGAATAGCTAAATTTTATATTGTTAGAATCATAAAATATATAACGTTTTAAGGCTATTAATAATAATAAAAATATAATTATAACTAACAAACTAATAGGTAAAAATATTGATTATCGACTCTTTATTATATAAAAGATTATTAAAGCCTTTTATAAATTAAAATTGAAAAATTTGATGCAAAAATATTAAATCTTTTACATTTATGTAATGTTTAATGGTATTTGTTTGGGTTAAAAGAAAAATAATATTCAAAAATAAAATATATATTTAATTTTTAATTTTTGTATTTAAAATTGAAATGTCAGAAATTTGCCCATAAATATTTAAAATATTTAACATTTAATTTTAAAGACTTTTATAATCAGTTACTAGATAAATTCATGCGACGATTGAATAATGATGATTGTCTTAATCATGCCAATTAAAATTTTGAATGAAAATATATAGAAGCAGTAAGGCATTGAATGAATCGATCAATTAACATGCACTTTTACATTTCCTTACTCAAAAGTAAATGAAAATTTTGATAAATATTGTTATTACCATCACCAATTAAAATATTTAATACCACAATTTAATACTTATAAATGAAATTACAAAAGCTTAAACATATGAATGAAATTGTTTCATAATTAAAATGAAACTGTATGTTGAATTTAAAATAAACTATGTGTACCTTTTTGGCTGCTGCCCCTACTTTACTTTTCTTTGTCCCCCTAACTTTCTTCATTCTGTTTTTCCTCTCTTTCCTCTGTTTTCTTGTTTGCTTTTGTTTCTCATACAATCCATGTCGTTGTAACCTGTATTTGGGTTCAAATTTCTTTGCGTAATCTAGGGTATCATATATAACAGCAAAACCAGTAGATTTACCACCACCAAAATTTGTTTGAAAACCAAATACAAATACTACATCTGGAGTTACTTTGTATATTTTCGCCAACTTTTCACGAATTTCCGTTTTCCTTACGGATGGCTGTCCTGCATGTAGGACATCCACAACCTACAATATAGTGTATTTGTAAACGGAACTTTAACTTTGTATAAGTATTCTTTAAAATTCTCAGGATTAATCTATCGAAGCTACTTACCATCTGCTTTCGATTTAACAACCTATTGGTCATAAATTTACGAGTGCGAATTGTTACTTCTGTCTACAAAAAATTCATAACAAAAATTATTTATAGGTTAGGTTGTTGATTGTGTGTATTGCTTCGTAAATACGTTTTACAAATTAATTGGAACTTTACCAAGTACGAAAAATTTTGTAAATTAACGTCAGCTACGTAATGCTCAATAAAAATTAGTTTACCTTCGCGGATTTATTTGATAATTGGAAAAGAAACGTACGTTATTAAATATTTAATTTTCTCCCAAAGTACAAATCCACTTAAAAATATATCATTATAATATAATGAATCGCGCATTTCCGATACTTTTAATTATAAGTGCGGCTCGATTTAATTTGTGATTCGTTATTTTACAATAGATTACACGTACTCACCATTTTGCTTCGCTAATCGTGCAGCTTAAAAAGACTTTGGTAGTAACGAACGTGAAAGCATGGCTGACAATATACCAAGGATAAATATCCGGAACTATCCAACTTGCTTTTATTGCCCCTACTGTTTAAGCGCGACATTTCAAATCTTACTACGAGCTTCGAACTAACATCGTTGACGAATGAAACAAGACAAATTATAATCATATTAATAACAATGAATATTCCAAGAAAATTATAATTATACATTATACAACAATTAGCGACAGAATATTGAAATCCAATGGCTGGCAAATTTAAATACAAATAGCATAATATTCAAATCAATTGACAAGTTACAATTTTTTGTTCGTTTGAAGGCAAGCAAAGTATATAGAAGCGTAACGTTAAATGACTGTGAATAAAATAAAATTAATAGAGACAATTATGAGTTGTATTATACTAAGAGTTTACAATTTAATTTTTTAATATATGCATCTATCATTGTTGTAAAATGGTTTTTCACATTTATTTAACAATATTTTCATATGCGTATTCAGCGCCAATTGGGTGTATTAAACAAATGCAAATTATATTATTAAAAACGACGATAATACTAATGTCATTGTACGTGATAATTCAAGACACAAGATCTTCAATTTTATAATCATTAAAACAAAATATCCAAGATATATCGCAATTTTAATTTAACGACAAAGATATTTGTGCTTTAATAGTGCATAATGTGACATGTATACATAATCCTTGCTGGATATGTGATGTACATTGAGATCGCAGATAGGGCAAGGTAACTAAATTTAATGCAGGGGAATTTAAAAGGTAGGAAGGATGAGCGTCGAGCAGCTGAGAACACGATCACGCAGAGGAGCAGTGAGGAAGAACGAAGGCAATGAATTTCGAGTTATCTGTCTTATCGACCGTTTGATTAAAAAAAAAAAAAAAAAAATAGTAAAACGAAACGATACAAAAGAAAGAAACAATAAAAAAAAAGAAAAAAAAGCTCTTTGCGTGTGATTGCCGGTAGCGTAAAAACTTGTCGAGCCAGCCGAGTACTTGTAGCTCGCACATGGTAGCACGTGGGGGCATACGAAGGAAAAATGGGCAGAGGAGAATGCGATGCCGAGGTCGGATAAGAAGCGTTGAGCGAACGAGCGAGCAAGACGGGAAAACTACGGAGATTAAATGCTCGAGTGACAGGAAGGGTGTGGGAGGGGAGGGATCGCAAGCGTGGGTGCGTGGGTGCGTGCGTACGTACGTACATACGTGCATGCATGCGTGCGTGCACTCGTCTATCTGCCTGACGGTCGAATCGGAATTTAAAAGGCGTTGGAGCGGTCGATGTTCATCGAGGGACTAATCGGGGATTGGTTGCCGCTTGACGGCCTGGGGACGGGGGAGGAGCAGCCGGAGAGGGGGCGTGTGTGAGCAGCGGGCAGGGTGAAGGGAGGACTTGAAAAGGTCCACTCTGGCGAGCGAGCGAGGCGGGTGTCGCGACGGTCAGGTAGCGAAACGCTCGGGGGGGTCTTGTACTTGGCTTGGCCTGGTATCCGTAATCTTGACGTCACCTGACGGTCAGGGCTGCGTGGGTGCGGGCACAACGGCGACATCTGCCGAGCGTTGAAGCCTCTTGCGCTGGCCAACTACAGAGGCGGCGACTGGCGGCCTGAGAGGAGCTCGAGACTCGAGAGAGAGAGCGACGAGTGCATGTCTGCGTAGGGAGCCGAGGTGAGCGCTCTGCCGTGCCGCTGCTGCAGCCTTGCAATCGCTGTCCTAAAATGGCGTCGGGCTCGGAGCTACCAGAATATTCCTCACCAATTAAGCGTCGGAAGGTCGGTCGCGACGAGTACGGAACGACTCCCGACCCTAGACTTGGCATTAGCGACGGCAAAACGTCGACCAGCCCTTCCGCCGAGGACTTCGAAGGTATTTATCGAAAAATATGGATCGGCCAGCGTTGGCCACAACGATTGCAAGATGGCCGACATCGCGGGCTGCGAGAACCTCGGGGTCGTTTGAGTTGGGCGGGTTCCGATCTCGGCCACGGTTGGGCGGCGCCGCCATGACACTTTGGCGCCGAATCTACGCTGCTTTGGCATTTTTAGCACCGATTTTCACGATCAAGAGCACTGGTCGAGCGCTTTTTAACGGGAACGTTGATTTTCTCGGTGCATTGGCTTTTTAGTGGGTGCCATTTGTGCGTTACGAGTTACGATGTGGATTGAGCTTTCAAGCGGGAAAATTTTAAAGCGGGAATAACGGAAAGGTCCATTGATAGTAAAATTATCGGATAGTTGGTTGCGTTCACAGATGGCACACGGGAGTCGAGATACAAATCGACAACAACAAAAGTGTCAGGCTGGTTTGTCAAGATGCGCACGCGTTCTATCTCAGCTGTCTTTTGATGCATGTGTCAAAATTCGTATAATATCTACATTATTAACATTTTTATTATTTATTCATTTTGTTTTCTTATTTATATTTTTATTTTTTCCTTTGTGTTTTAAAATCGTGAGTTAAAATGTTTTTAATATTAACGACGGCATTACATGAAAGCGGTTAATAATCTATTGTAAATTAATAATTAATAATTCAAATCATTAATAAATATAATTTGAAAATTTTTTATTGCAGCCTCATTGAATGATAATAGATTTTCCGAATTAAGTGACGGTATTAAATCCGCCTCGACCTCGTGCGATTTAACAAATTCGTCAACTCCAACTCGTACCGACTCAATGAGCGACGACACAGGATTTCCGTAAGTTTTATGATTTTTTTTTTTTATTTTACAGTTTCGTAAGATTGTTAAGTAAGAGTAAATCAGCGATATAATTTATTCATATATTTTAGACTCGATACTGCTGATGAAAAGGATGAAGTATCGTCGACCGTTTCAAATTTATCCGATATAACAGGAATTTCAATGTTGTCCGATGATGGAGACGGTAGCTTAGAATGGAGAAATGCATCGTCTTGGGTTCAGAAGCAAATACAATTAGGAACTGATCCTAGAGATGTTCTTAAACTTCTTTTCTCAGATCCTACTGAAATCCCTGAACAAGTGGATGATATTACATTATGGAGGGTTTGTATTATTACTTTAATTTTTTGTTTATCCAAACATTTATGTTCAACTGTATTTATTTATTTTTTATTTTATTTTTATTTTTATTTTTTATTTTATTATTACAGATTGTTATAAACATGATGTCAGAGCCACCTAAGAGACAAAAATTATCACACATTAATACAATATTGGATGTAGTCAATCTTATTAGAAATAGTAAGAATATTATTGTTTTAACTGGAGCCGGTGTAAGTGTTAGTTGTGGTATTCCGGACTTTAGAAGCAGAGATGGCATTTACTCCAGATTAGCACAAGATTTTCCAGATTTACCTGATCCACAAGTATATTAATATATTTCTTAATCTAATAACAGAAGCTTTATTATGATTTTAATTGAATAATTTATTTTTTACAGGCAATGTTTGACATTAATTATTTTTCACAAGATCCCAGACCATTTTACAAATTTGCTCGTGAAATATATCCAGGACAGTTTAAACCTAGTCCTTGTCATGAGTTTATAAAAATGTTGGAAAAGCAGAAGAAACTTTTACGAAATTATTCACAAAATATCGATACTTTAGAAAGAGTAGCTGGGATTAAAAATTTAATTGAATGCCACGGTAAATAGATGAAAATATTAATTATATTATTCTTAATGTTAATTAGCAAATTATATAAAATTTATTTTTAGGTTCATTTGCAACAGCTTCTTGTACAAAATGCAAATATCAAGTTCGATCGGATGATGTTAAACAAGAAATATTTGCTCAAACTATTCCAATGTGCCCCAAGTGTCAAGAACAATCATTACCTTCTATAGTTGAATCAAATCCCAATGAAAATTACAGAGGTAATTGCAATCGAGTTAATTTTAATGGATGCTACTTTTATGGTTTTATACTTAAAAATTAAATGTTTCATAATTAATTTTAGATTTAGTGGCACAAGGTGTTATGAAACCAGATATAGTTTTCTTTGGAGAGGGTTTGCCAGATGCTTTTCACGATGCAATGGCAAGCGATAAGGATATTTGCGATCTTTTGATAGTTATAGGTTCTTCATTAAAAGTTAGACCTGTTGCATTAATTCCTTCTTCAATTCCCGCAAATATCCCACAAATTTTAATTAATCGCGAATCACTTCCTCATTTGGAATTTGATGTTGAACTCTTAGGCGATGGGGATGTAGTTATTAATCAACTTTGTCACATGTAAGTCAAGTTTTACATTTAACAATAAAACTTCAAAATAATTACTTTAAATATATTATTAACAAAGTATTCGGTTATTATAGGTTGGATGGAAATTATAAAAAAGTATGCTGGCGTGATAATATATTAGAAGAAGCTTCTAGGCTACTACCACCTGAGTTTCCTATAAGTGATTCTTGGGATCAAAGTCAAGATACGTTGACAAATCAGGACTTTTCTCAAGATAGTGTACAAGTTGAACAGAATAATTTCTTAGTAGAATCTACGTCTAAAAGAGAATTGAGAGTATTTGATCGAGAAGACGAGGATAAAAGTAATACACTGGATAATAGACCATGGAAAAAAATTAAAAGTGATTCGGATTTGAAAGAACTTTTTGAAGATGAACCTATATCATGTACAAAATTTTATTCAAGCATTGTAGATTATTATGAGAAGAAGAATTTTACTGATGAAGATACTTCAAAACATACGAGCTCTGACAGTGATAACGATAGTATATCAGAAAATACTAAAAATTGTCAAAGTCAGAAAGGTAAGAAAAGTAATGATCAATATAATATATATGCAAAAATTTATTTTGATAATTATTACATAATATTTGTATATTATAGTACACAATATCCAGAGAAGTAGTAAAGATGATTGTAAAGATAATAAACTACTAGATGATAGACTTTGGAAAAAAGAAGGACATAAAAGACGAAATACGGAGGAGTCTAATGATTATGCAGGAGACAATACAATTTCAGATAGTGAATATACGGATGTGAGAAATTTATCATTTCATTCGGAATATACAGAACACACAGTTAAAAATTTTATATTTATTGAAGAAAGTCACGAGAGACAGCTAGGTAGTTTAAGTTTTGATAATAATTTACTAAGGCCGGAGATGGAAAGCAGTCCAAAGTCTCAAAATTCATCTCGTAAAAGCATTACCTTAAGTTCAGGCGAAAGTCCAACAACTTCTTACGAGTCGTCATCAAGAGCCACAGAGGAAATTTTTATTTCTGAAGAATGTCACGTTGTCCCTAGAATAGATTGTTTAAGAGATGACTCTGCTTTAGAAGGAAATACAGATCCTTCAAAGTCATCTGATAAAATGGATTTGAAACCCAGACATGCATCGATTGATTCGGTAATGGACTCTGCATTGGGCGACAGTTGTAGCAGTTCTGACTGTCAGAAAAGAAAAAACGATGTGGACAATACCGATGAGAATAAAAAATTCCATAAACTAGATGGCCATTCTTGGCAACCCATGAATAGAGATAGCCTTGCATCAAGACTCCCAGGTAAGTATTTTAATCAATATTAAAGCACAATAAGCATTTTGCATTAATATAATATACAATAAAAATTTTGTAGAAAATACGTATTATCAAATGAAGCCTGGAAAGTATATTTTCCCGGGTGCAGAGGTGTATACGAATTTTCCATGGAACGAAGGAGTACTTCAAATTGGTGGATTAAGATCAGCATTGATTATGAGCCAGCTTCGTGAACACTGACAAGAACAAGAGAACTTTGATACTAAATATTGAGGAAGAGATACAAAGGTATTTACTTAATAAGAAATTTATTGTTGATTTCATTTTATATTAAGTGAAACGATTAACTTACCTTTTATTTTTTTAATGTTTTAATAGTGAATAGTCAGGAGAGGACGCGTAGATGCTGATGCAGAAAAGACTGAAGCCAAAGGGATAGATAAGCATTTTCAGTCAAAATGCAGGATGGAGTTGCTTAGTATGAAATGTTGTTAGGTGATCATGTACATGGCTATTGGGTCACAACTCAAAGTGTGGTGCATTTAAAAATCTTTTATTGTTGAAAATAGATGGTAAATCTTATTTGGGAAAATCACATAGTTGAAAAAATGCGTAGATTTTCTTATTGGATTAAGTATCTCTTCTGAAGCTATGGAGTACAAGTTTTGCAGGTCGATTTCTTTTACTTGTAATAAAAAAAAAAAAAATTTAAGGAGTTAGTTGTGATAGTAAAGGACTCTTGTAAACTCATGGAGTCACATCCGCATCGATCAAGGTCATTCAAGAGTATATACTTTATAAAAGACGCAAGAATGCAACCTGATCTCTACTCTTTCAGATTCACGTTGATCGTTGCTTATTTATCTGTGAATGCCTTGTAAATATGAAGCCAATGAGCATTCTGTTGATTGAAGACGTACATAATTCATATACATTATAGGCACTCTTCACGTCGTGTTTGATTTAATTGTCATTTGTACATACACGGGAAATGCATATATCAATCATTTTGCGTAATGAACTTATTTACGTCCATATACGTATAAAACTAAGATTGTCTGATTATATCTTCAAGCAGATATAGCTTATACTTTTATGTGTATGAAATGTATGGATAATACATTGAGTTCAGCTATTTTAGAAGTACGCGCGTGATTTAGTCAGGATTTTTTTTTGCTTGGAATTCTCTAACTTTAAATATGAATAGTGAGTCGAAATTATTCTGAAAATAATCATCTACTGAAATGTTATAGAGTAGTTTAAGGTACAAGTGAATTTGAATGAAGCATTCATTTACTTTTTTTATTTTATTGCTTTTATTATTAAAAAAAAGTATTTGAAAGCAATAAGTAACTTAAGCACCAGTGCAGTAATTCGAGTCAGATTTATAATTTACACGAACAATTTTTTTTTCAAGTAGTTGGATAGATTGAACTTTCATTTTTCATTGGAGCACGGGTGGATGTACAAAGCAATGTTGAATAGATTCACATTGCGTGTTATTTTTATATGAAAAAAAAAGAATAGAAGTAGCCAGTGTAGAAGAAAAGCGCAACAATCTGACAAATCTTCGCTATGCGTTCCACTTTAATTGTGTCTCATTGTGAAGCAACTTTTCGTAGACATTTTTGCGATGTTGTCAAAATTGTTGCTGTAGCTTGTACTTTTTAAGGAACAAAGAGGTTGTGTGCAAGTATATTACTAAATATAGATAAATTTATAAATATATAAATAATGTATAGGTTTAGTATGATAATGTATGGAACGGACTTTATCATTCGCTATTTAGTTTATAACGTAGAAAAAAGACACTCTTGATCTCAGTGTGCTAAATCTTATTTATTAATATATTAATGTTCTATATGATTTATATATAGGCATTATCAATGATAATAAAAAAAGTTAAAAAATTGTCAAATTTCAATTTCCAACTCGAGATTTTGAAATTTTTTCTCTCTTTTTATTAATTTTTTTATGTCAATAATTTGTTGATCAAGAATTTTAAATTAATTTCTACCAAAAACTCATATTTTTTTTTATTTTTTATTTTTTTATATATTACTTAAGCAATATTAATAAATATTTGTATTATTAACATATTTTATAAAGAATTTATTGGTAAGTTGCAGAACTAACTTTGTGAGAATATTTGTTTGATGAAGTGCTTATCATTTTAAAGCTGATGTGTTAATCAAATAATCAACATTGCAAATGTAGTGTCTTTGTATGTTTGTAGTGCGTGGATCATGCAACATAGATTTCATATTTTACGATTAAATCATAATATTCTTAAAGAATTTTGAACTCGTAAAGTACTCGGGTTGGTACGTTTTTGTTAAATTTTTTTTTAAGAATGTTTACAATAATGTTATTTATTTAATGAACAATATAGACTTATTATAAAAAGTTAAATGATTGCATTGTTTCACTTTTAGAAGCTAGTAATTATTTAAGCGTTTAAAATAAAAATGCTATTTATATTTCGCGTAATTTGTTATATATATATATATATGCTATTAGTATTAAGAGATTCCTTATCCTATAATTCATTATGTTTGATTATGCTTTCATACTGAATTCAAACACATACATCTTAATTCAAACACTGTTTTTGCAGTAAAATTATTGAATTATTCGCAGTTTGAATTAGAAACATATTCAGTTGACAACTATTGTAGTATTTAAATTATGTTGTAATATAAGTACAAGGCTTGTACAAATTAGAGAAAGTTCTGCAACTTTTATAAAAAAATATTCTTGTTTTTTATTAATATTATTTAATATACATTTTTAGACTAACACAAAATGTTAAACACAAAAAATATATCTTTTAACTAATTTATAGTAAGAATATTAAAATTTTAATTAAAAATTATTCATTTATTAGATGAATTGAAAATATTTAAATAAAATTGATTTTACAATGTATAATGCATTATAATAAAATGTTTATTTTTATGATTTTATGATATTATTTGATATTAGTGTATAAAACAGACAACAAATTGACAAACATAAAACTAAAGATTTAGTTAATTGAGATTGAAAATGTAGTGTTTTCGTTCTATATTGTAGGTTTAATATAAAATTAAATTATAATAAAATTTATCGACTGGATGTACGAACAACTATCAAGTCAATGTGAGAATGTTTTTAAACGAGGAATGTGAATCTTTCGCCATTGCGAAATATGTAAACGAGAGCAAAAAACAATATTACGTCCAGCGAGGATTGTAAGGTTTAATTACCAAGTATTTTAGTATGATATCTTACAATTTTGGTTTATCACGTTTAACATGGCATTTTATATATCTAAATGAAAGATTTGGCTTTGTATAAATGGCTTTATTTATCATAAAATGTGTCCATTGGACAATCGTTATCAAATGTATAAACTTCTGTTTAATATCTATTTTCGCTTCACATACTTATTTATTAAATCGAGAAGCTTACGAGCAAAAGTTGGTCCACTCTCTCTTTCTCATTTTTATACTTTGACAATAAAATTATCGACGTCTTTATGATTATATTGAACGATGCGTCTAACGTTTTTACTTATTGTATTGATCGTCACCGATTCCAAAGCAAATTCTATTTAAATATAAATTAACGTTACTTGGTTTTAAAGAAACAAAATTTAAATATCTCATTAGGTTTGGGTATTCTGACGGAAATTCACTTTTTTTTGCGATGTAATTTTCTCCACAGCAATATTGCACAATAATATTGATACATTCCAAATGCCACGTAATTTTCAATCCTTTATCAAAGGTGAATTGGTTATCTTATTTTCTTATATTCTCATACTGTGTATAAATAATAATAGTATACGATTATCGAGTCTGAGAGAGAAATTACAACAGCTTCTACAAATTGACAATCATGCCAACTTTTTTCGACAGTACTGATTTTTTTTTCTCATTTGTATAGTTACGTCTTATGTAAATATTTATTATTTTTACTTATGTATACATAATTATATTTGTATAGTATGTAGGTGATTTTAGAATATTAATGGTATCTGTTCGATTATGAAAAGACCAGCGGGTCATCTAAATCATTTACTGTATTACATTTATTGGCTTTAGCACTAATTTATATCACATCTTCGATTTCATTCATTTTATCATTTTACAATCTATGACATTTGCACTTGTGGTAATGCTCTTCGTTTTCAAATCCAATTAATAACTACGAGACATTAAATATATTCTATTGTGTTTACTATTTGAATGGAGGATTTCCCAACAAAAGCGTTCGAACTGTACATTACGGTATTCTTAATCGTTAAAGAATTATTAGAATTTGTGTTGACAATAACAACTTCAATGGTAAAGTGCAATATATGGAATATGTAGACAATTTATTGAAAGCATATTTGTGATCAGAATTATTAATTTAAAAAAGAAAAAAAACTGGGTCAAGCATTTTTTTCTCTTTTTCTCAATTATACGAAAGGATCTTATTCTTGTACAATGATCTTTTCAAAAATTTCGATTGCCTAGCTTTTAAGCTCTCCATTCTGAATAACATTTATTACAATTTCTAAAAAAGAAGTGTTTTAAACTAACGGGGGTTCAGCGTCTTCGTTATGATTTTTTTACATTCGTTTATTAAGATTAATAAATATCGGATGGACGATATGTTTTATAACAATTTTATATTATACTTTCTAGCTCTTCATAATTTAAACTTATTTGGCGTAATGACAATTTTCAGAAGCATGTTTATATACATTAACGCGTATAAATATCTTAAACATTATAAATTACATATTAATGAACTGTTATTATTTTCAAACTATTTTGCACGCATTAATTATTAATTGTGATACTATCTGACTTGAAATAATACCTGCAATTTAATCAATTGTAAAGTTATTCTAAAGAGTTCTATTATTATTGGTTATTATGGTTCAATGCATTATTGGGAGTTTTGGCTTCTTAACGGTTTGTTGCCATCACAATTTAAATTTCTAGTGTTTTTTAGAATTTTCAGTTATGCAGCCGAGCAATATTTAAAATTTATTTGTCAATTTGCATGCGCATAGATTCAGTCATATATAAGCCGTTGTCAGTTGACAAAATTTCTATTATACATTTTGGAATAGTCTTCAGTTATAATACACGCGCGCGCGCGCACGCGCACACACACACACACACACACACACACACACACACACGAATGGAGGTAATTTAATCATAGTAGAATCTAAATCTTATAAAGATATGTAGAAATTTATAGAACTGATTTTCCATTCGCAAAATATGTTCAGGTAACATATAATACATTTTGGTAATCGCGATATGGTTCAATAATACGTTAATACACGGTCTATTCTATGAAATTCGAGTATTGTTAGAATACATAAAAGATGTAAACGACGATGGCGTGATTTTCAAACATGCATAAGGCGATGTCAATACTTAACAGAAGTTAAATGCAAATTTCATTTACTTTAATATTGTTTGCTCAACGATTATGCAAAGATAATATGAATGATTATATTGAATTACTTTAATTTAACTTAATCTTAATTAACTAATTCAAATACTTATACGTGCACGTTCGAATAAAAACTATTAAGGCTTTATACAAATTTAATAAGAAATTTCCATTGTCGGATAAAGCCTTTCTACTCAAGAAATTTTTCACTATTAATCTTTTTTTCTAATTTCATCGCTTTATAAATTCAATTT